AGATTTAAAAGTATTGCATCATAAAAATATAATTTTCTTACATATGTGTATGTGCATTTATATGATGATTATAAATGTATAGATGTGTGTACATTTATATTCATACACACATAAACAATCATTACTAAACTCTGGTTTGACTTGCAGAAAAATATGAGAAGACAAACGGAGGATAATAGCTCATGGATTTGTCTATATTTATACTATAGAAAGTAATCATTTGGTATAGTTTAAGTGGATCTATTTCAATTAAATATTCAAGTGTATTCATTCAACCAATATATACTGCATTTGTGGGACACTCTTCTAGACACTTAGAGTTAGCAATGAGAGAAACAGAGAGCCCTCTGCCCGTGTGACAAAATTCATTAGATATAATAAAATTACATAGTATGTTTGATGGTGATAAGTGCTGTCAGAGAAAAATTGATCCAGATAAGGTGGTTCAGGAGTATGAGTGTGTGTATAGAGGTTGTACAAGAGTGGAAGAGGATGGGAGTTTCTGAGGCAGGGGATTGGTAGGTGAAGAAGAATTGTAGAATTAAATGGGATGATCAGAGTTAGATCCATTAAGGTGAAATATGAACAAAAGCTTTAAAGTAGAGGAAATTAGTAAATTTCTTTGAAATCAATATAGAAAATATTAACTATGGGTCTTTTTCAGTGTATTAGTTTCATTTTTTATTGTTATAACAAAATAACTGAGGTTAGGAAAGTATAAAGAAAAGAATGGGTTTTGTTTTTGTTTTGTTTTTTGTGATACTGGGGATTGACCCCAAGGCCTTCCACTGAATTATATTCATGGTCCTTCTTTATTTTTTACTTTGAGACAAGGTCTCACTAAGTTGCTAAGTTGCCCAGGCTAGGCTGGAACTTTCTATCCTCCTGCCTCATCCTCCCACAGTGCTGGAATTTCAAGAGTGCTCTGCCATGCCTGATTAAAAACAGAGCTTTATTTACCCCACAGTCATGGATACTGAAATTCCAAGGTTGGGTGTCCCCACATGTCCAGTCTCTGGTGAAAGCCTGTTGGCTACATTACAATATGGTAAATGGCATGTGTACAAGAGGAGAGATCAAATAGTAAGACAGAAGAGACTAGGGAAGGCCCAGTCTTGCTCTTTTGAGAACTAACTAGTGTTGTGTGAGAAGTACATTAATCCTTTTTGAGGGCATGACCCCCAGTGACCCAACTGCCTCCCACTAGGCTCTACTTCTTAAAGGTTTCACCACTTCAATAGCATCTCACTGAGAACCAAGCTTCCCTTGAAGGACAAACTATATACACACAGAACTACACAATACAATTATTTGAATTAAATTAAGAGTTTTGATGATAATATTAAAAAATGAATATTTAAATTAAGAAAGGCATAATTAACTTTTTTGAAATCAACATATTATACAGAATTGTAACTAATAAATTTACAAATTGTTCTTTTCTGATTTTCAGAAGAACCTGTTTAGCTGAAGCTTATCTGCTGTTAAAAATAATGCAGAAAAGAGGAAAAGATAAGAAACAAATATTAGCACTACCAGTATACCAGAGAAATGCAGTATTTCACTTAGCAACTTGAGCACTAAAGGCCTCTTATTATATAGTAATGACTGAGGTAATTAAAGAGTATAGTTATAATGTAATTGATATTTAGGGGGCATTGGGTATTGGACACAGTCAGTGGTAAGGTTTTTTCATGGATTATTTCATATAATGATTTCAAGTAACACTCATGAGTGAGAAACACTCAGGAACCTTAGGATGAGAACCTCCAGTGCTGGGGAGGCTATGAATAATAAGAGGTAAGTGGGGCTGAGGATTTAGCTCAGTGGTTCTGCCACCTGCCTCGCAAGCACAAGGTCCCGAGTTCAATCCCCGGTACCAAAATAATAATAATAATAGTAATAATAATAATAATAATAATAATGAGGTAGTATGGTTAAAGGGTAGGTTTACAGGGCTGTGATTTAAAGGGTACACTTTAGAACCAGAGTCAGGGGAATGAGTTGGTTTTCCCAGCCTCTCTATGTGCTCCACCTCCTGAGCTCCACTACAATGCCCATGAAAAGAATCATGCCATAGCAGCAAGGACTCAGATCATGAAATCAAGCTCAGATAATGAAGAGAGAGGTGAGAAGATAGTGTTAGCTTTCTGCTTAGGACAGTGAGCACAACTTTCAGAAAAAGTTAATTCCTTTGATCAAGAAAAGAAATTCAAAACTCTGACAACTCTTCAACATAGTCTAGAGGCAAGGAAACATTGACTTTGTTTAGTGCAGTTTCTGGAGTAGCATAAGCTTTAGGAGTTTTTAGTGTTTGTGTAGATAAGAGGAAGACAGGGATAAGCGTGCCACAGAAGGAGCAGAATGACAGCAACCAGCGTTCATTCAGTGCCTGACTTGTGAGCGTTGCTGATTTTCTGCCCTGGACATGTCAGGTAATTTGCCTGTCCTTCCCTACCTCCCTTCTAACTTTACCTTAGAAGAGCTAGCTCTTCCTCTCATTCCAATTGCAGGAACTCTGAGTGGGTTTCAGTTTCTTTTGCTCAAAAGCAGCTTTACCAGAAGGAATACCACTGCTGGCTCATAAAATAAGCCAGAAACAAGAGCAGTGTTTCTTCTCAGTCTCTCTGCATCCACATGCTTGGTTCTTTGCCAAAGTCTACAGCAGCTGCTAGAGTAGAGAACTGTTAGACTCTCATGGATTTTTGCACTTTACCGTCCACAAACCAAGAGACTTCTCCTTACCTGTTGGTCTTTATGCTCCCATTTCCTCTGGCAAAATAGCCCCTAGCCTTACAGGACTCTAAGGTAACTGGCCACCCCACCCTTGAAGCAGAAGTGGGTGTTAGAAAATCAGCAAAAGATCTAAGGAAAATGTCACTAGAGTTTGGAGAGCATTCCAGCAATAAGTAATAGTTTGTTTCTTAAGAGTTTCTTGAGATCTGAATGACTATCCCTACTCTTCATATTCCTTCCCAGGGCATGTTTGTGAAAAAGGTTACAGGAAAGGGGATCGTCTGGACTTGGGCCACCCATATTCAAATATTAAGTCTTACCTTCTCAAGAGAAAACTGAAATGGCAGGGGTTAAGTTATCCTATCCACACAGAGCTTCTGGGAGTAGGACCAGAGCCAAGAAAGAGGCAGAACCTGCAGGAATGCCAGAGCATGCCTTCAGGGAAGTGTATGGATATAGCTTACAGGAAAGCAATGCTATGACAGGAGAAGAGAGCTGAGTGGGGAACTGGGATATCATATGGTGGGCCAGAGGCAGGTCAATAAAGATGTTGAAGCCAGAGATGGAGCTTAAACAAATGGTAGGCAGGAAGCACCAAATGAAGTAGGGCAGGTAAGTCATGTTTAAGGAATAGAATAGGGTTTATTAAGATGAAACTGGCAAACTGCCAGACTTATGGATGTTTAGCATATTCCCTTAATATCCTAAAGCAGGTGTTTGAAGTGTAAGTTTCTCATTGGATTTGTAGTACACAGGCCAGCATACGGGCCAGGGCATGCTGGGAATAGAGAAGAGACCTTGAGTTAAAGTAAGAAGGAGTTATGAGAATCAGGGGTGAGCTAGGGCAGAAATAGCAATTCAAAGCAAAAGATGGCAATGAGAGACCAAAAAAGGTCATAGCAAACATACTCCATTCATAGATGTCAAGGTCAAAGGGATAACTAACAAGGCAGAGCAGTATAAGAGAATGGCCTCAGTGGCCTTGGCCAGGGACCAGGGATGGGATGGGGTGGAGGATTATGAGATGAAAAGATAAATCTTTTAGGGAATTCTGTCTAGCAGGAAGCAGAGAAGAGCAAAGGATGGCCTAGCTTAGGAAATGTGGGCAGGAAGGATGATTAAGGGAAAGCAAATACTGGAGTATAGGGTAGGACTCCCCTGAGTAAACTCAAGAGCTCAAGACAAGCAGTGGAAAAGAGCCATAGACAGGCAACTGGAGACATTCAGGGAGAACAACTGCTCAAAGACATTGAAGCACCTGGGCCTTAGGTTTCAACCTGTGACCAAAGAACATTTTCAGACATCCTAGAGGGCAAGGACTATTAATGTTCTTCCCATATGGAGTCTTCTCAGTCTTTGAATAAAAAGTGTAGCTTTTTGATGACCAATCATGAACAGGAAGATGAGAGGAGGATCAGTATAGAAGTTAACACAGGGCTGAAAGAAGATCCAGCAAGAATTCCTGAGGCTCAGTGGGACTTACACTAAATCACAGGAGAAAGAAATCAAAGGTTACTGTAATGAGATGGCCATCCTAAGATGCTCTGCCAAGACTGTAAATAGGTACATTCTTTCTGCTGACCAACTTGGGTTATACAGGAAGAACCATAAAAATATACCCAATTTTTGACCCCAAACTTCCATTATCTAGGGAACTAAGGAAATGAGGATTGATGTAAACTCAGCTTTATGTATAAGCAAGGTCATTTTTATGTTATTTATACTTTAGGAAAATTGAGAACAATAGAAATATTCAATGTTAGAGAAATGAACTGGCTAAAGAAAGAAGCTTCCAGAAAACAAACTATTATGTGGCCACACTAAATCATGCTTTTGAAAAAGTGGTGGCAGACTGATAGACTGACTTCCTAACACAAGCTACTCTTGATGAGGATTAGCTTAAAACTGAGCCATATTGAATCAGTATGCTGGATGTCTTTCTGGAAATTTCTCTCTAGAAATTTTGCAGGTCCTTTTGCATTGTATAAAGAGAAAACATTCCTCTCGAAAAAGTTTATTCTTTAGCTATCAGTGAATTAGGAAATACTGAATTTTTTACTTGAAAACTCTGAATTTATTCAACAGATTCCTCCATTTCATCCTGAAAGGGCAACACATATTTAATTTTTTTCTTCAACATGTATATTTGTTTCTTTTGGCTGCTATTACCACCATCTTGGATGGCTTGAATCAACAGAAATTTATTCTCTAACAGTTCTGGTAGCCAGAAGTCCAAAATCAGGCTATAGAAAGCTCATACTCACCTTGAAGTCCTGGGGAAGAATTTTAACTTGCCTTTTCCTACTGTCTGATTGTTGCCTTCAATCCTTGATGTTTCTTGGTTTATAGCTGCTTTGCTCCAATTTGTACCTTTTTCTTTATGCAGCCATCTTCCCTTTATGTGTCTGTTTTCTTATAAGGACACTATAGATTAGGACCCACTCTAATTCAGTATGCCCTCATTTTATCTAATTATGTCTGCAAAAACCCTATTTCCAAATAAGATCCCATCCCAAAGTTTTGGGAAGAATTCAATTTTGGGGGGATAGTATTCAACCCACTACAACATTTTAAACATTTTTCAATTATTGGTCAAATTGATAATGGGAGAAAATACTATGCTCTGTTAAGTGGGGTACTTTATTTTTTTTCTCTAAAATGAATAAAAGTCGCAGAGCCTCAAATCTTTGACCATCTGCCTATCACCAGCACAGATTCCCAGGGGATCTAGGCAGAAGAGGCACCTAGTAAATGAGTACTACTCATGATTATCTGAGACTTTGGCTCTAAACTCCCAGAGAGCATCCCATTCCTAGAGATTCTTGCTAAACCACTGAGCCTATGGTTTAAAACCCTGAATAAGAGCCAGGGATTTAGCTCAGTGGTTTTGCTGCCTGCTGCGCAAGCTCAAGGACCCAAGTTCGATCCCTGGTACCAAAAACAAAACAAAACAAAACAAAACCCCTGAATAAAAGCAAGAAAATGTCTTCTTATCAAAACTTTATTATTTTCAAAGAAGTTCATAAAAGGATTCTCTCAAGTGATGTATGCCCCAAGAAAAAGAGAAAGTTGATCTCTATTACAGTAAGTAACAGAAAAGGACAAAGGTGTAGGCTCTGAGTCAAGTTTGATATGAATTAAGAGCCTAGCTTTGCCCCACTAGCTGGGTGAACTTACTCAATTTTATTTTGTTTTACTATGATTATTATTAATTTTGGTACTGGGGATTGAACTCAGGGCCTCCCTCCTGCTTGGCACTCTATCACTGAGCTATATCCCCATCCCTCACACTAAATTTTCTAGTTAGAATAATGAAATAATAATATTTTCTTCATAGAGCCATTGTGAAGAGTAAATGAGATAACTTGTGTAATGCCCTCAGTACGTGGGAAGTGCTAGCTCTACAGTAATCATTACTCAGGCCTAGAAGACAGGGCTAAAGTGCTTACACCAGGCCTTTTATCTCCTGGATCTCATTTTGATTACCCCCAAAACTTCCTACAGCAGAGGACTTCTCTATGTGGGAGCACCTTTAAAGCCTCTTCTTAGCTAAATGGGAGCTAGGTTCTCCAAAAGGACAAAGCAAAGAGCATTCTCAAAAGTTGTGCACAATGCTGTCCTCCTGTAGTCTGTGCTTGGGATGCTAAGGCAAGAGGATCACTTGAGCCCAGGAGCTCCAGACCAGTGTGAGCAATACAGTGGGACTCTGACACTCAACCCCTCAAAAAGAGCAATCTAATAAAAGCCAGTGTTTTTAACCTGGAGGTTGCAAATTGATGGCTTTCAGGCCAGATTCCACCCCTCATTAGTTTTATTTGACATTGATAATTTTAAAAAATTTAGATTTTATTGCTAACATTTTAAAATCCAGAGGTATTCTACAAAAATACAAATTTCTGGCTTAAAAAATCAGAAGACCAATAATATTAAGCCTGAATTTTCTCATGACTATCGAGTCTCAATTTACTGTATTGTAGAAATTGGCACACTTTTTAGAGTAAGGAGGTCCTATTAATAATTGTGCCTGAACTACATGTGTTGAGACTCCCCAAGGCAAATTGAGATGTGTGGTTAGTCTCTTTACCCCAATCATCAGACCCCAAAGATCTGAAGCTACATAGAAATGGATGCTTCCTTTAGGGGCTCTGGGTTTCTCAGTTCTCTAGGGTTTTGAGTTATCAGCCTCTATTTCAACATCTTCTTATACTACACTTACTAATTGATCCTCCATCACCCACAATTCAATATTTGTGATCTGCACTTCTATCACTGTTTTCTTTCTCGAAGAAGAAAAAGATATGAAGCAATCAAATCAATGCTGGACTTAATTCAGGTGCTATCAAGGGTTCTGATAGAATTTCCAATAGTTTAGCACTACCTATACCATGTCATCATCCAGTGACTTATCAACTAGTCCTTCTCTGCACTGATAGGACGTGTATCACTGGGCTATGTCACATGTGTCATAATTTAGAGACATTGTAAGATTCTTGAAATACCTTCTGAGTTATTAAAGAATTGGTTTGAAGGAAGCATAAACCAGTTTTTTTATTCATTAAGTTTATTGGTACACTTTAGCTATATAATATGATGACATTCATCATTGAGAATTAAGTCTTAATTTTCAAGGAGGTCCTGACCAACAAATGGATTGTATTCCAAAAGTTTACTTGTAAATCTAGCATAAAGAATATGAAACAATGTTGTTGCTTTCCCATCCCTAGCCACACATATTGAAAGTAAAACAAAAAATAAATCATAGAATATATAAAGATTAGTACCCTGACTTCTAGGCACTCTTTAGGAATTCTAAACAAAGAACAGTGGGGAGAAGTAACCATGAAAAGGTTCTGAAGGCTTTTTCCCCCTCTACCCATTTGATTGTGTGAAACACTTATTCATGTAATATTTGTATGGTAAACTATATAATAAACATTAATAGCTAGAATACTCAATAAATATGGAAAATGCCATTCCTTGATTAAAGTGGACTACCTGAAATTTATAAGGAGGATCAGAACCTCAGTATTTAACTATCAAGGGTATATTGAAAAGTCCCACTTGAAGAGACAGGTGACTTTGCTTTAAGTTTAATCTCTGCTATTAACGTGTGTGTGCAACTTTAATAACTCACTCTCTTTTAGACACAGTTTTCTTATCCTCTGAATAAGGACGATAACAACAATTCATATTTCCAGACTTGTTTTGAAGATTAGTTGAGGTAAGGATGTAGCAGAGCTTTATACAATGTGAAATACTATGGAATCAAAAAGAACAGAGAAACAAATTAATGCTTATTGAGCTTAGATTATGAATCAGGCAGTAAATCTTCTGCAGGTGCATACAAATGCAGAGACCGGGGCATTCCTCAATTTTGAGCAGAAACTAATCAGCCTCCTCCCACTGAAAATACTTACAGAACCCCAGGCTTGTAAACATCCTGCCTTCTGATTTTAATGACAATATTACAGTGGATATGATGCTGTATCCTGGCCCACACCCCAGAGTAGGAGTATTACTGACTCATTCTGACTTGAGAGTATTAGGAAGAAGCAATGCCCCACTTAAAGAGTTAGACAATGGCAACTTTCAGTTACAATTGCACTTAATATTTCTATAGGATAGGGAAGGTGATGGTCTTGGTCCAATGAGAACCTATGGATGCTGTTATTATTGAATTCCGGGAACTGAGACAGTGGTGTCTGTGTGTAGTTTGCTAGGGCTGCCATAACAAAGTGCTTCGGACTAGGTTGTTTAAACAGCAGCAATTCTAGAGGACAGAAGTGTGAGATCAAGGTGTTGGCATAGTTGCTTTCTCTTGAGGCCTCTGTCACCTTGTAGGTAGACAGCAGCCTTCTTCCCGTATGTGTGTCTGTGCTGTAAGCTCTTCTTATAAGGTATCAGTCATTAGATTAGAGCCACACTAATGATCTCATTTTCACTTACATGCCCCTTTAAAGGCTCTCTCTTCAAATAAACTGAAGTCGCTTTCTGAGGTAGGATTTCAGCATACAAATTTTGGAATGACATAATTCAGCCCATAACACTGTTAAATAAATCAGTGGTTACTTTGTTCTCAGGATGATTTCTTTAAACTCAGTCTCTGACTCCTGTATCTTTTCCTTCTCCACAGTCCTGCCCTGCACTCACTACCAAAACCCCTAGCCTTCAGCCTTGTTTTGTTTTGTTTGGTACCTGGGATCGAACTCAGGACCTTGCACTTGCGTGGCAGGCAGTGGCACCACTGAGCTAAATCCCCAGCCCTAGCCTTCAGTTTTCATTGCACTATAAACACTGATTCATGAATACAGAATTGCCGTTGGCATTGGCAGGTCCATTTCACTGATGTATTGGTGTGCAAGGAAACCTGTGCAAGATATGTGTTCTCTGTAAAACACCCTCAAACATCTTCTGGACCCATTGTCCCTTGACCTACATCCTGTGGGTCTCCTTTGAGTCTCTAAGCAACCCAAGGTCTACTGGTCTCATTTCCTCAGATTCTGGTTCTTGGTAGTTTTTTTTTTTTTTTTTTTTTAATCTTTTAGTCATTTGGAGCCTTTCCCCCCTCTTGGTTCTTAGTCATTACCCAGAGGGAAGTCACTAGAAATCAGCTCAGCCTCATCCATTCTAACCAAGAAGCACTCACAGAAATTTAACATCTGTTTTTACTTTGCTGCCCAATTCAGGCTTATTCTTAAGCAAGGCAATGTGCTATCTTGATGCTTTGTTTGCTATTCCATGTGTTCTCCACCCTAAATTTGCTAAGTAGATGGTTTCAGTGATGTTACATAACAGCTATTTCATCAGTTTTTTGGCTGATAGGATATATAGTTATGTCTGTGACCTCATATATTCTGGTACCATGTACCTTCCAGACAAAATTTAATACATTAATGAACATCCTAGACTGACTATGTCATCAGTCACAATAAGGTAAAGAACATCAACCCATCAGCGAAAATCTGTTTTGTTGGAGATTTTGTTGTTTTAAAAGCAATAACCTTCAAGCAAGAATCTCAATCAATAATTATAAAGATCTTTGAAGTAAAAGTGTCTGCAGACAGACCTTTCTAGACAAAGTATTACAGAATCATTAACTCATCAAACTATTTTTTCTTTTCTTTTCTTTTCTTTTCTTCTTATTTATGCCCCACATTGTCAGCTATTGGGATAACTTCAGAATAAAATAATTTAAATCCAGGTATTTATGTAGTATAATAATAGTTGTATAACAATAGTTCTTCTGATACTATGAAATGTAATGTCCTCTTGAATGAATTTAAAAATATGTTGTAAACCAAATATTTTCAATTTTTACAAGCAGTTACTTCCCAATCCTCTGGCAAGCATGCCACAAGCAACCACCTTTATATAAATATACAGTTAGTAAGATAAACACTCAATAAAGTCACTAGTGGTAGTATTGTTTCTCAGAGGTTCAGCAATATTTGTTCAGTGGGTAGATGAAGAAAAAGATTAGTAATGTTTCCACTGGGCTCTACTCCTTCCTAGAGCCAGCCAGACTTCCCCTAGGAGAAAGGCAGTAATTGTGTGTGTTTCAGAATGTCCCAGGATAGCTTTCTGCTTCAAGAGCAAACCAGGCTTCTCATCAGATCCAAGCTAAGCTGCCCATTTTTTAGGGGCTTTTAGTAGCAATAATAAGTTAGGCCTCCAAAATAACAGGAGTAAATTTGCAGAACATATTTAAACATGTTAGTATAGCCTAAATATTTACTCAATAAACTAAGAATAATTCAGGCAGTTTCTTTGATTTAATTTCATAGACTTGGATTTAAAAACCTTCATCTATAGGTTACGGTAGAAAGAATCCTGGTCTTGATTTTGGTTTAATTAACCCATTGACTAATCAGTGATATATGGGAAAGCTGGGCTGAGCTTTCCTTATGTAACAGAGAATGGAGTATGTGAGCTCTAACATCCTTCTCATAAAGAAATTATGAAATTGCCTTGGGAAAAACAGATTTCATCTTACAGGGGTTTGTAAAGATAGTAGAATAAAATACACAGGTTAGGGATAGCTGTAACTGCTTTCATAGCTAGCTTGCATTCCGTTGAATAGATGAAAGAAAAGCAAGAGCAGAAAATATTCACTCCTCCACTTTAAAGAAATAAGGAAATAATTTAAGATTCTAGAGTTATTTCTGGTTCTTTCAGATAAAGATTTGATGAAGCAATTAAACTTGGCATGTGTTAACATGTTGATTACAAGGAGCTAGTGTAAAGTCATTGTCAAAGCAATGTGGTTCTCTTATCTGATTAAAACTTTCAAAATGTTAACAAATGAATCTTTTCAAAGGACAAATCTAATATTTGGACATATGTACTGTTATTTTCTTTAAAACATTTTGTTGACTGATTAACTCCAAATACTTTTCCAGGGGATGGGGTTAGAGTGGTGAACAAAGTAGGCATAGACCCTTCTTTCACGGATCTTACATTCCCACACTAGTGAAGAGAAATAAAAAGTATATACATAAACTAATAACTCAATATCAAGTAAGTAGTGGGATTAGTGATATGGACCCTAGTATATCTGGGAAAGAGCAAGAAGGACATAGTAGCAGAAGTAGAAGAGAAATGATCCCTTACCATCTCTTTTCTAAGAAAAGTATGGTCAAACTTAACTTCACATTAATGTCAATTTTCATAAGGCCAAATAGAAAGAGAAATTCTTTATTAAGGCACTGGGAGTCTATTTCAATAGTGAAGCACTTACCTAACATGCCCAAGGCCCTGAATTTGACTAAAAAAAGAAAGGGGGTTATTACTGAATTTTTTTCTGAGCCTTGGTTATTCATTTGTAAAATGGACATGATAAACCATGAATGACTACTTATTATTACTACCATCATCATCTTTATTGTTAGCAGTTTCAATAATTGAATTTTTAAGGTCATTTTTTTCATTGACCAATAATTACTAGAGGAAATTATTAACATGTGATGCTAGGATATTATGTAGGGTTATGGTATGAAGTGGCACAAACATAGAAGTTTATGTCATCAAAAGTCCTACAAGAGAGTTTAAAAGAATATAAAAATAATGCCTTAATCTAATCATAAACATAATACCTTAATCTAGTCAAAAAATGAACATATCTTATCCATACACTCAAGTTTTTCTTTATTTTTGTTAGTCTTACCCAGGTTCTTCTCCTATGACACTGAGTCCCTGCATGTTTGTAATGTCTTTTACATTCATTTCCAGCATGTGCACTGAATTGACTCCTTGTTTCTCAATTATAAACATCATGGAATCAAGATTAATAACCTGCTTGGTGAGTTTTGTTCACTTTGGAATCTGGACACCTTTCATTCAATGTAGCCTGTTAGGCTCTTTGGCATTCTTTCAAAATGCCCTAGCATGAGGTAAAGGACAACATTAGTCGAAGGGAGCCTGCCCGCCTTTGGGGTACCCCTGCCTGCTGCCATTACTTTTTTCCCTTTTCCAGGCATTTAATCATAATTGAAGAGAAACTGAGAGTGGATTTCAAGTTACCTAAGTTCTCTAATATGTTCCCTGTGCTTAGAACAATGCCTGGCACACTGAAGATATAAGTATTTGTAGAATGAATAAAAATAGGATAGGCCCTGTGGAAATGTTGCCCCCTCTTGAACAGACTGCCATTAAAATGTTGCTGGGAGAATGATATATTGAGGGCCTGGGTTCCCGTTACCAGTGTCCATATATATCATGCACCTTCATGGTCAGCCATTTCACTTCAGAGTGTGTGATCTGTAGGACAGGCTTTGTTCTATGTATGAGGTTTTTGTGGTCACTGCATTTGGTTCCATTAGTTACTACCAAGTTGAGCACAGCTTATTATAAACAAAACTTTTTAAATTCATGCTGGAAGAATTTTTATTCCTGGATCCACTGATCATTTCCTCAAAATTTCTCCAGAAAATACTCAGTGGGAGCCCATTCTGAGTCAGACACAAACAGGTAATGAATACTATAAAACTTTTAATCTGTTTACTATACACAATATGGAATAAACATAGCCCGGAAGCACAAGTGCCACAAGAATATTATTGTATGTATCATATTATAACAGGAATTAGTGAGACAGGAGTTAGGATTCTATTAGACAGAAAGGACAGCAGGCCCAAAATGGAGTCAGGAAGCCCAAATTGTAGTCTGTTAAGTCATGATCCTCCAGGAGTCTTACAAAAACTCCTGCCAGCTGTCCTGTGGCTGTCTGGGACCTCCTCAGAGCATGATCAGGTAGACCAC